TGTCCAGAGGAGGGACAGCGGTTTGGACATGTCCAGAGGAGGGACAGTGGTTTGGACATGTCCAGAGGAGGGACAGTGGTTTGGACATGTTCAGAGGAGGGACAGTGGTTTGGACATGTCCAGAGGAGAGACAGTGGGTATATTGGTAGAAGGATGTTAGAAATGCAGCTGCAGGAAAAAGACAAAGAGGAGACATAGTTGGGGAGGACATGGAGGTAGTTGGAGTGAGGACAGAGGACAGAGTGAGATGTTGAGACCCCCTGAAGATGGAACAGCCAAAAGAAGAAGAACCATCCAGCAACATTCTGGTGGACATCTGATTTCCTTCGTGTCAGTTGGTAGACTTCAGGTCTGGTTTTCTGCACAGACTGGCTTTAATTCAGAGTCCATGGGTTTTGGATCGTGTTGGGATCAGGTCTCTGGGAGACTAGCTTAATGTTAGCCTGATTTGTCCAATCAGAGACCAGTTCTTGAGTTTTGTCCAATCAGAAACCTGGACCATGATGTGTGTTTGGGATCATCGTCCTGCTGGAACTCCCAGCCGTCGACCTGAAGAAATGGACGTCGTCTTCCTCCTTTTTATTTATTCCACTTAGTGTACCACAGCATGATGCTACCACCACCGTGCCTTACAGCTGGTTCATTGGTCTGAAGATCTCGTCCTGAAGACTCCAAACATACTTCTTCCATTAGAGCCAAATAATTCACTATTTGTCTCGTCTGGACACATTTTCTCCAGAAGAGGACCTTGTAGATTATTAGAAACCCTGGATTCTGTTTTTAGAACCTCCTGTTGCTCCTGGAAATATTTTTCTGAGACCAAATAATTTCTTTAATGTTTGTTTGTTGTCCTATATTTCTAGAAGTCAGCTGTGAGGTAACTTCCTGTCTCTGTCAGCTGATGCTTCCTGTTTGCTGCCAGTCATTCCTGCAGCAACTTCCCCAAACCTTCACTTCTTCCTCTTTTCTTCAGTTTCTGTCTGAACTAACTCCGCTGGGAAGAAACGACTGTTTTTATATTGGCTTATAAAATAAGTTTTATAATGTCACGAATTAAAACCTTACGGTGAGTAATCTGAGTTTATAATCTCATCTATCACAATTGATATTATGAATTAATTTTATTAATCTTATCACAATAAATCGTCATAAAACATCAAAACAGGTTAATTCAGATTAATTCAAAACAAAACGAGTAATATTAGTAGTAAAAGTATTTTAATGAACTTCAAGTATCAGCAGAAACACCAGTATTTGTACCTGCTGGGATATTAACCAGTTGTGATGTGATTGGAGGATTCACTGAGATTGAACCAATCACGTCACTGGTCGTCTGTGTGGGCGGAGCCTGGTGGAGGTAAAAGAAGTGACGTCAGCGTCTCCTCCGAAATCAGAACAGAGAAACGGACAGGTGTGAGACTGCAGCAGGTAACTGACGTGTCTGTTCTAGTACACTCTGTGTGTGTGTACTCTGAGTACCCTGTGTGTACTCTGAGTACCCTGTGTGTACTCTGAGTACCCTGTGTGTACTCTGAGTACCCTGTGTGTACTTTGTGTACCTGTGTTCAGTGTAAATTAGCTGATGTCGATAAGTTTATTCTTAATGATCAAACCTTTTGTTGTCTGATGATGAGGATTGTTTTGATTCGTGTAACTTTGTTAAACGGTTTAAATTGAATCTAAAAGTTTTAGGAGTAACTTGAAACATAAACTTTGTAGGAAACATTTAAATATGTTAAAAAGAAAAGATGTAAATCTGTTGCTGAGTCGGAGCTTCGCTGGATGTTCAATGTCGGTGACATCAAACACGTTACTTTGAGTTAAAAGTTGAAGAAAGACGAAGAAAAACACAAAAATTAAACTGTAACTTTTATAAAAAACAAAGACAATCTCTTTGTCTCTGTCCTCTGCATCCTCTGTCCTCACTCTGTCCTCTGCATCCTCTGTCCTCACTCTGTCCTCTGCATCCTCT